AATTTTTAAAACTTCAGCCAGCTTCTTTTGTATATCCAGTAAAGAGTCCTTATCCAGGTCACTCTCTTGGCCTGTCACTTGTATTTCCACTTTAAATGCCTTCTCTGCCTTGTAATCCACACTTTTTAAATCCAATCTTTCTGATTCTGTTTCTACATCAAGCAAAATTTGTTTCACATCTATCATTACTCCATTAACATCCTTTAGACATAGTCTATCCATAGATACATTACTGATATTGTTAATGTTGTGGCTACTAATTTCTGGCCCCATTCTTCAAAGATCTTTAATGTTTCAAATGTTACAGTGTCTTGTGTCCTTTTGTAAATCCCAATCCTAATCAAAACCAAAGGCAGGGGTTTTTTTTCTTTTTCCCTGGAATCTTTAGTCCCTTCTAGCCCCCTCTAGTGTCCAATTAAAATAATAAAGTAGACAGTACTAGTAATTAAAATAATTACAGTAGACAAAATAATTTTGGTTCCCATGAAAAGCTGTTTATTTTATATAGTTAGTTCCAAAATCTTACAATAAATGTTTCAGTATTCCAAATTTGTCTGGACCCTTAATTCATTTACAACTTTCTTGGTTCAAAATCTTATGTAGCTTTTTGCCGTTTATTTCAAATTCTTTAAGTTCTTAAACTTATACTTAATTTTTCTTTCGTTCAGAGATGAAGATAGGCTCACCAGTTCAAACTTGTTGTTCCAAAGATCTCTAATAGTTTTAAGATGGTTAGATAAGCAATTTTCAAAAGTGATTAGAAGCAATGTTAGCAAACTTAGTGTCTTTTAAAAGGCTTTGCCATGGTTATGAGCTTGATGATTGATCTCTTCTTCTCCCAGCTCTCAAACCCATGGGAGATTGCTGTCCTGTGGTCTCCTTGCGAGGAGCAGCCATCCAGAGCATATATGGCCAATCTCCTGTCCTCCCCTTGTCCAGAGAGGTTCCGCAGAACCGGTCTACTAACCAGTTCTTCAGCCTTTGCCACAGTTGTCATCTCCACTCTCTTGGAGACATGTTTAGCTTACCATGCCTCCGCCAGAAGTCTGAACCATTTTCTGTTCAAAAAGATTTCCTTCCAGAAGATTGCCAGGCTACTCCTGAAATAACTGGACCAACGTGGGCTGGAGTAAAGATGGAACATTCCTGAGTACTCTTCTTGCACTGAACCCATTTCTCTCTTTTGTCTAAAGAATTAATCTTAGAAATTTGATACAGGGATGGCTTGGGTTAGGGCAAAGGAGGAAATTATGTGCATACTTACTGTATTTATGAGTAACTTTTTTTAATCAAAGTACTCTAGGCAGTTTATAGTATTTCAAGAGATATAATGCAAAACATTAAAAAAAAAACTATTAGAACAGATTTATGAGTAACTTTTTTTAATCAAAGTACTCTAGGCAGTTTATAGTATTTCAAGAGATATAATGCAAAACATTAAAAAAAAAACTATTAGAACAGATTTATGAGTAACTTTTTTTAATCAAAGTACTCTAGGCAGTTTATAGTATTTCAAGAGATATAATGCAAAACATTAAAAAAAAACTATTAGAACAGATGGAGAAAAGGTATATTCAGGTACCAGCTTGTTACAAAATTACTATATAGAATGTTGGGGGCATCTAGCAAACTTGAAAGGTTATAATTTCCAGAAATAAAAGGTAAAAATCTGTCATATCATGAAATAGAGAAAGGCACTTAGAATATAACCAATTACAGAAGCGATGCACAAATCTTGTCTTTTTCCTTTGTCAATGGAACAAAAGGTTCAGTGGATGGTGACCATGGAAGCCTGATAGACAGTGAAGGAAAAGAAGAGGTGAGTAGGCTGATAATCTCTTGAGGAATTTTTAAAAATAGCTTCTAAATATAACATTCTAAGTTTTCTGGGAAGTTCAGGGATGTATCAGTTTACAATATTGGTGGGAACATTTTTTAAATTAAGTACTCATTATCCTTATCTTAGATGAAAACAATTCAGGTACTATTTCAGAAAAGTTGCTATCCAGAGGGCTGTTGCATGGAAGCCCAAGACAACAGTTCCTGCATGTTCTCAAGTCGAGTGACATTTCTCTTAAATTTGCTTTTGCTTTTCAGGAATTGGAAGAATTTGGGACTATAAGTGATGAAGATCAGAAACAGGTAAGAAATGCATTTTGTCAGGTTTCTGTTCTCTCCAAACAACCATTGGGTTGAGAAAATAAATAGCATGAGGAAATAAATTGTTCAGATAGAATGCTACAGGTGACCAGAACAAGTTTCCTTCCCTCATTTAAGTGTAAGAATTCATATTGAGTGGTCATGTACTCCATATTGGATGGAGGAAAAAAGTATAAGATACATTTCTCTTCCCCCACCTCACCCTCTTCCCAGATTGTTTTATTTCTAGGCACTCAGGCTCAAAATTATGGAAGTTCTGTTTAGGTCATTTCAACGGTTGTTTTTAATTAGTCTCTTAACTTTTTTCCTAGAAGCCATATTCCAAATGTCTAAGTCTGCCTTGCTGTGTAATGTATATAGAGGACCATTCCTGCTTAAATTTAGTCAAACTTCTAGTGATTTAAAAGTTAAGATTGTGAAGAACAAAAAGAAGGAATATAAAGTTGGACTATTTGATCATGGATAAATTATTTGTTTGCTATTTCTGGTAGCTCCTAATGGACTTTTTGCTGAACCAGGACTGAAAAGATGATGATTTCTGGATTGAATATAGATAAAATTTAGGCTATGGGAGAAGAATTTTTTTATTTGTAACTTTAAAAGAGAGTGAAAAGTTATTATATTAGCTTATGCTCAATGTGATGAATGCTGGAAGCCACTTCATTATTGTCTTTGTTGCCTTTTTCTCTTTCTTTTCTCTTCTACCTTTTTCTTTTCCTTTTTTTTGTGCACCTTCTGAACTTTTCTTTTTCTTTTTTCTTCCAGTTTTGTTTATATTAGTTTTTACTATGTTGATTAAAAACTTCAATAAAATTACCAAAAAAAAAAAATGGTCGAGCTTCTGTTATGAATATATACTGTCAGTTTTGCCATTGATGAATATTCACCAATTTTGGTCACCCAATCTTGTATCATTGGCAGTTTCACCCTTCCAGTGTTGTGCCAGGTTCATTCTTGCCACTGCCAGCATTTAAAGTATCTTAATATTTTATTTTATTTTATAGTTTATTAAAGTATTTTAATATTAGTAGTTTCATTCCAAGTTTTATTTTAAAAAAATTCTGAATACTGTGGTATATTTATTTCCAATACTTTTTGAGTATTTTTGCATGACAACCACATGTAATAAAATATATCTTTTTTATTGTGGCATTTCCAACATTTATTATCATATGACTTGTCTTTCTTAGAAATCATTGACAGAGTTATACACCATCTGCAAAACATTTTATGCCAGTTTTCTCTCAGATTATAGGTTGGGGTGAATTTTATTCATTTCTTCCAGAGCTCTTCCCATTGTTCCACTGCAATTCTTTGAAATTTTACATCCATTTTATCATGTAGCTCTTAATTTGTTTCGTCTTTGTGTTACATTTCAATAGCAATTTGTAAATTTGTCCCAATAGATGATCTTAGTTCTGTATAAACATTTCAAATGTCCTATTTCTCAAGGTCCCTGCATCTTTCTTTAAGTGACTTTTTATTTTTCCAGCAATGTGTAAATACATTAACTATGGTAAATTCCTGCCTTCAATAAGCAGTTCTTGTTGTGTCTTTAGCCTGTTTTCTGAATCTGGATGTAGACTAGTATTAGCATATGTAATTAAATCTTTCTTACTGTAGTTATCCAAGAAATAAAAAACATTTTGACGATGACATTAGTGGGGAAATTGCCAGACTTATCATTTTTAGAAGATTCCAAATTTTTAACAAACTTTGTCATATAACATGCCCCTTCAAATTCTTTTCTTCTTTTGTTTCTTTGTACCTGTGAGGTCCATTGGCCCAGCCAGCTCCTTCTATAATTGATGTTCTGCTATTTGGAGATTGTATCCATTCTGTTTTTCATGATAGACAGTTTGGTTGATAATATAATTTGAAGTTTGGAAATACATGTCCACCTCTTTCAGCATCGTTTCTCAAGATGGAACATTCACTGTCTCAATACTTTTTTGCCATTATTTATCTGCCTCTGTGCAGCCTTCCAGCAGTTTTTATCAATTATTTATCTGTTTCTTTGCAACTTCCCTGACTTTGATGTTATCACTTGCATTTTGACTAACTGGCTTTCAGAGAAAGAAAATGGAACCTGTGTAGCTTAGTGATGAAATAAGAACTTGATTCTAACCACTATTGTTGACTGTGAAGAGGCTTTCAGGATAGTAAGAAGTGGAAGGATTTGACAAGAGAAGAAGGCAGAGCATGCTATCTGTCAAGTAATTTATGGACATCTGTTCTGGATATTCTGTTGCAGAAAGGGGAAGATGTTCTCTGAGGACATTAAGTCCAAAGCTGGCTAGATCTACTTAATTATAGGAAATTTCTTTCTCAATTGCAGTGAAACATATGGTATTTATTTGTTTTCTAGAGAATAGTACTGATGAGTGATGAAGATGAAGATCTTTTTGGTGACTTTGAAAAAGGGGAAGAGGAAGAGGGTGACCTAGAAGAAAATACAACATTGGTAAGGAATTGCTGCTCAACATCACCAGTTTTATGAGAAAGTGTTAATAAAGCATGTTAGTAAGATGTTTATAGCACTGGTTATAGCACTGAAAAGTACAAAATATTCATAATATGATCAAATGAAATGCTTGTTTAGAAAATACTTGTTCCAGTAAAGTTATAGTGTACCATCCTTCATAATTTATGCTACATATTTATGCCACATACTTATTTCGTTAAGAAACATTCTTTTGTATATGTCTGAAAAGCAAATGTTAACATTCTGATTGACTGTTTTCCATCATATATTTGAGGGTGTGGTGAGTTGTGGACATGTGTTTGAGGGATCTGGTTGAAAGAGACAGGGCCACGCAGTTTTCCAATTGTTTCCTATTTTATTCACTTAAAAATCAGCAAAAAAGCAATTTCAGCCAAATGTTATATATTTTTTTTGTTTTTCCACTTCAAACTTCACTAACCATTTTGCATTCTTTTCTGAACAATTCCCCCTCCTACTGACTGTTAGCTTGACCTAGCTTGATGAAAAAGTACAAAATGAGTATTTTTCCTAATTTTTAGCCACAAAACAATTCTGAATAAGCAAATGTTAGCCAGTTATATGAGCTTAGTAAATGTACATACCAAGCATATACACATCTTCCAGACCATGAAAAAAGCGCCTTGCAACCCTAGCTTGCACTTCTGCATTCCTTATTTATTAACACTCACTTCTCTGTAGTTTTACTATCATGATCATTTTTGTGCTGTGGCTGACTTTAGCCCTTTCTTGGTTGTTGTTTTTTCCTGGCACTACAAGATCTGAGTGGGAGGGCAATAGAAAGTTTCTGTTTCTGTATCTTTGTATTCTGTATCTATCACCCACCTACTTGACTGTTTTGCTTGGGTTGTAATGGTTATCTGCTGGTCTTGCAATATAGGACCTTTAAGAGTCAGTTGCCCACAAGTTGACAATTTTTTGACAAGTAATTACTACCAATAATTACTTCAGAGACCAATCTTTCATTATATCAACAGTGATTTTTTGCCATTACCTTTTATATTGAAGCCAAGCTTCAACTGATGGGACTCTAGTTTTTCCCCCAAAACATTAGTAATGGCCTCTGAATCAACTTTTTCATATAGTTGTGCTCTTACTTTAACTGCCAATGTTCAAAGGCCTTTCTGCTTTCTGGCATGAGTACTGTTGCTCTTTTCTGCTCAGACATTTGCTGGAGAGCTAACGTAGTAGGTTTGGACCCTATGTTGGGGAAGGTTGTAGTCCAGTGTACATTTTACCACAATTACAATAGACATTCTTTTTGTCCCTTCCACTTTCTTTTGCTTTTCCTTTTATAGTTTCTATTCTCCCTCCCCCCCCTTTTTTTTTTGGTATTGCCTCTTTAAGAGGCCTCTCTTTTTAAAGTCTGTCTCTTTTCCCAGCGTTTGGTTGTTTGCATGGCTAGCCCCTATCCATATTGTTGTATTAAGTTCTCTGCTGATTTTCCTGTTTGGTGAATCTTCCTATGGGTCTCATTCTTGAATGGTTTGTGGACTTCCCTCCACTTAGGAATAGATAGATTTTCAGCAATAAGAACTGCCTGATTTGAGGACCGGTAGCCACTCTTTCTTTGGATTAAGACCAAAAGGCCATGTTCAACAGCCACAAGAACTGTCTTGAGTCCATACTAGTCATTGTAGCATCTTTAGCTGCTTGCAATCACTTTCATGACCAAGGTTCTCCTTCCCAAAATTCTCTTATATGTTAATATGACATCCCAGGTGCTTTAAGACTCCCCCCTTTTGCCAATTCTGTATTTGCTGCCCCTTCCTCTTCCTATTGTTGTATGAGACTCTAATCTCCTTATTAGCAAAGCATAGCACAGAGAGTACACAGCTTGTTTGAGGGTCACCATGGGTGCAGGGATACACAGAGAGCTGGCTCATCACAGTTTTTTTGTGGCGTTGGTATCAATACTGTACTGTGCAGAGCAGGAAAACTATACTGGCAGGAGAGAAGAGCTAGAGAGGAGAGAAAGTTAAAATAGCTCAGTGGCACAGACTGTTGAGTGCCTGTGGTGGTAGGAAATTGATGATTGAATTGGGAAGTGATAAAATGGTAGTTGGACTGGATTTATTAAACATGAATGTAGTTTGATTTTGGCTTAATGTGATGTGTCAAACCAAGCCTTTATCATTTGTAAACTTTCATTTATGCCTGTATATTATGTGAAAAGTGCTGATTCTTATTCAATAGACATGTTTAGAAGAAAAAGGCTGTGTGTTCATACACTGTGCTAAGACATGTCTTGTTTAATTGTGATTTGTTAAAAACCATAATTGTGTGAGCTCACACATCTCATTAAGCTAAAAGAACTACTCATTTATGTAGCAAATTTTTGTAGCTGCCCACCTACCAATGAAACTCTGGGAAGCAAACAAAAGATAAAATATAACACACAATTAAAAGAACAAAGTCAGGTCATCTATGAAAATACTTACCAACATTCTTAACATTCCGCAAGTCCCTCAAGACCTAGCTATGTGATTAGGCCTGGGGCTCCCAGGGGACCGGGGAGATTTTACATTGGCTCCATTATTAATTTTTGTTGTTCAGTCGTTAAGTCATGTCTGACTCTTCGTGACCCCATGAACCATATCATGCCG